TGTAGTAAAACTGCAGTGAAGCCCAGTGGAGTGTAGTAAAACTGCAGTGAAGCTCAGTGGAAGAAAGGTATGTTACAGAGGAAAAGAACAGAATTATGGGTAGCCCAGGCCCTGTGTCCGCATCCCACAATCCTCGCGGCCTGGCTGTTACCTGATTCTTCCTGTAGAAGCCCCGGGTGTCACAGTTGGGGATGTAGATGTCCTTCGGCGACTGGATGACCGTCAGCTTCAGCGACTCCAGGACGGAGTTGAGCAGCCGGCGGCAGGGGGCCTGTGGACAGAGGGCAGAGAGGATTGGGGTCACGTGAAGTCGGAGCTGCTCTGTGCTGCCCTCTCTGCCTGGGCGAGGCACTACACTGCGCAGCTACTGGAACTGAGAGAGGGGCCCGTTCATCACTGTGTGAACCGAGCCAGTGTCTCCTCCCACACTATCGGACAACACTGGGACCCACAGCAGGAAGAATGCAAATCAAGGGAAATTATGTCACAAATATACAGTGCACCAGTAATGTAATGTGTTGTTATGGTGGGCACATTACAAAAAGAACACTGACCGCCCCCTGCGGGCTACTTTAGGATCAACAGTGCACTTCTTTACACAAAGAGTGGTGGGTGTCTGGATCAAACTGCCCTGGAGTAAATATTTCTTATATGTTCTCAGATTGAACTGTCTGGGATCTTTCACAGCTTGAAAGCACTAGAGACCAGCGGAGGAGGTTTGGAAACTCACGAGTTCAGCTGATCTCCCGTCAGGACTGCGGGCCGGCGGCACTGAGCTCCCCCCTGGCAGGACTGCAGCTGCTCACAGAAGGAAGACAAATGGTGAAGAGTTGATGTGTGTACTGCCCAGCGCAGGTTCATCTCTCAGAACATGTCATTTCAGTGCGAGGTTTTTAAAGCCGAAATTTAATCGATAAGTGCCCCCCTTCGTCTCTATACGGATGCAGCGGCGGAGTTCTGCCAGCAGGGGGGGCAGTGTGTTTCCCAGAGCGTAGGGGAAGGCGTGGGAAGACAGCAGCACGTGGCCTGGTCAGACCAGCACTGTACGGACAACCTCAACATGTCCTGCAAGACCACTGACTCAGGGCGAGCCCAGCCTCACGCAGGAAGAATTTCAAACCTCTCCTAGCATAATGCAAATATTTAAAAAGAACATCCCTGAGGCTGAAAACTCTAAATGAAACATTTGGGCTGTTTACACTGGCTTTTAAATGAACCTGAAAATAAAAGACTGATGTCACTCTTTACAACTTTTTTTTTTAAGTATCCATGTGCACATTCAGTATCCTGGGAAATGTTTCATAGATACAGCCTAAGGGACTCTGAAAAGATCCTTCCCAACTCCTACACAACACTGCAGCTATCAAAGATCCAGCATGCAGCCAGAGTTCCAGTTCACAGCCAGTACATAGAGATCTACCACACAGCCTGTACCTGGAGATCCAGCACACAGCCTGTACCTGGAGATCCAGCACACAGACTGTACCTGGGGATCCAGCACACAGCCTGTACCTGGAGATCCAGCACACAGCCCGTACTGTACCTGGGGATCCTGTGCACAGTGACCAATATTGTAGTTTGGACTGTGTTCTGAATACTTCACATTCAGTATTGTCACATACTTATTAGGACAGGCCAAGCTGATCTAAAGACAGGAGAAAATGAAAGAGAAAAGAAGAAGATGGGACTAGAAAGGACAATAGAGGAAAGGATAGAAGGTGGAGAATCAGAAAGAGGAGAAAAGTCACACGCTTGTGTTCCAGGAACTGGCTCCTGGGTCTCAGAGCAGAATAGTCAGAGAAACTCTGAGTCATACACTGAAGGATATGGAAAACTGCCAGGCCTTTAAAGACTTGTCACTGTAGTCATAGGCTTGACTTCTTTAGAAAACCCCTTCTAGAGAAGAAGCACGGAACCAGGCTCTGCTCAGGCGGCCTCTGCCTGAATGAGACTGTTCTCCGCGCTGCCAGTCTGCTTCCCTGTCCCCTTCCCTGCCACCCCTGGAGCCTCAGGACGAGGAGCTCGCCTCCCAGCTCCCCCCCGCAGAGGGCCGGGCAGCTGCGTGTGCGAAGACGTCTTCTGGCTGTGAGGGCAGTGCGGAGGCGTCACTTGACAGACGGCGACCCATGCAAACTCCCCCTGCAGCGCATTCCAGCAAGCCGCGAAGGACCCCCGTCTCGCCCGAGTCCCCCGTCTCCTCTTCCAAACCCCACGGGCTGCAAACGCTTTGCTTTGCCCTGTGTGGCCACTGCCGCCCACCAGTGCCCCCAGCCGGACCTCCCTCCTGTCAGCAGCCCCTGAGCCTCTCCATAGGCAGCAAAGTGAGAGGCCGCGCTCCGAGGATGTCAACACAACATTGTAAAATGTTACAACAGCCCACGCTGCGGACCCCTGCCAACCAAATCTACAAGCGGCTCGCCAGCCAGCCCTCCCTCTGCGCCCCGTGAGCGCTGAACCCTTCCAGAGAGACAACAGCTGTTCTGCTGTAGAGACAGCAGCCGTCCCCCCCTCCCCTCTCCTCCCCAAATAAGCTGGTGCCGACCTGGGACACATGCGAGGGGAAAAGGACTGTTCCATTTCCTAACGGGGGGATTGCGACTGAATGAAGTTCCCACCGTCAAAGGAAACGCTGCCGTCTTTCCAAGATATCGCCGAGGTTTCCTCAGTTCAGCGGACAAACTTCGGAAAAAGCAGATCCAATCAACGGAAAATCACTCTTTAGCCACATCTGCGCGACCTTCGATTCACACAACTCCCCCTTTCCTCATCACCGTGGTCCTGCCCGCGAGAGCAGCGCTCTCAAACACTCTGAGCTGTGGTGCAAATTTTTCTCTGCCTGCTGGTAGATGCCCGCTACCTTTCCAACGCTGTTCAAATAAAGCTAAAAACAGGGAGTCTTGTTCTTATTTCTCATGTCTGTGGCCATGTCTTTTCTAGCTAGATTTGCCTGTTTCACTTTTTTTTTTTTTTAAACCGGAAAGAAAACTCCACGCTGGAGCCCACATGCTTTTAGCCACCCTGTGTGGGGTTTCTCTGCAGCCCCGTGCCAGTTTACCTGCGGGCGCTAAAAGCTGAAGCAGCGTGCAGAATCCCCATCCAGCACTCCCTCCAAACAAGCCACGTGCTACACAGAGACCAAGACCCTGCAGCTCCCAGGAATGGACCCCCGATGCAGGCACACTGCTCTGTGCCCTACTTACTTGTGAGGTTCTTCAGCACTGGATTGTGGCCGGTCTTGTTTCTGCCTGGCCGGGCGCAGACACCTCTGCCCTGCAGCAGAGCCTGCAGGGGGCTCTTCTCTCCAGGGCGGGGCACGCAGCGCAGCCCCCTGGCACAGCCCAGGGTGTAGACTCCGCAGGGCTCCCCCAGGGCCAGTACGGCCGTGCCCGTCTCCCCTCCGCCGGGCTCGCGGAGTGCCCGCGGCGGCCCGCCCTCCTGCCGGCACGACGGGCAGCCCCTCGTGGGCACGAGGTGGGCGCCGAGCGCCCGGGTGCCGGGCTGGCAGAGCAGAGCGACCAGCAGCGTGAGGAGAGCCTGCAGGCTGGGCGGCGTGGGCATGACGAAGCTCGCAGCTCGCTGGATCCAACTTCTGCTTCTGCGTTGTTTTGGAAACTCGCGCTCCCCGTCCTCCAGAGTCTGAGCTCCTGCGAACACGACAGCAGCAGCAGCGGCGGCAGTCAGAGTGAGACACAGAGGAGAGAGAGGGGGCACTGGCTTTTAAAGATCTGAAAGGTGGAGAGAGAGAGAGGGAGAGAGCAAGGACTGTTATGACACCTCCAGGGGTTGGGACTCTCCAACGAAAGAGAGAGAGAGAGAGAGAAGGATTTTTTTTTCCTTTCTGGAACTGCCAAGAACTCCTCCTCTGCTCCTTCCCCGTTGCTCCGTGTCCTGTCTTGTCACTCTCATTCTGGCACCTTGCGTGGCTCTTCCTGCCCCCCGCCCCCCCCCCCCAGTGCAAGCCCTCGGAGCGGACAGGACAGAGCCCCCGCGCCCAAATATCACTGGGCCGCTCTCCATCTGCTCCTGCTCGGGGGAGCCAGAGGGAGAGGGGTGGAGGGGAGCTCCCCGCACACAGCTGGGCGAAGCAGGATCTGATCTCCTCTCTCACACACAGAATAACTCCAGCTCAGAGTCTGCAGCAGGACTCTCTCACACACAGAACAACACCAGCTCAGAGTCTGCAGCAAGACTCTCTCACACACAGAACAACACCAGCTCAGAGTCTGCAGCAAGACTC